ATTTCTACTCATTCAAGACTAAATCTCATGGCCCTGACAGAGACCTGGATCAAACCAGAGGACAATGCTACACCTGCAGCACTCTCCAATAATTTGTCTTTTTCCCACTCCCCCCGTCTGACTGGAAGAGGTGGAGGTACTGGTCTGCTTATCTCTAATGATTGGAAATTTAATCCTTGACCTTTACCATCTCTGAGTATCAACAGCTCCTTTGAATCACATTCAGCCACTATTACCCACCCTCTTAAAATCCATTTTATAGTTGTTTATCGACCCCCAGGACCACTAGCTTCGTGGAAGAATTAGATGTGCTGCTCTCAACTTTTCCTGAGGATGGTACTCCCCTAGTTTATGATTGGAGACTTCAACATCCACCTAGATAAACCTCAGGCTGCAGACTTCCACACTCTGCTTGCCTTTTTTTATCTCAAGCGAGTGTTAACTACGGCAACTCACAAATCAGGCAACCAACTGGACCTTATTTACACACGACACTGCTCCACTGATCATGTACTGGTTACTCCACTGCACACCTCGGATCACTTCCTCCTCACTCTTAACCTCAACATGGTTCCTGACAAAACACATACATTACGAACACATCATTACGTGAACAGTGGATGCAGTTTGTTTTTCCAGGGCAGCAACGGAGTTTCGCAGGTGTGTTTGCTTGTTCCCGTCATTTCTGTAATGAAAGTTTTATAAACAAGGCCCAGTTCGATGATGGATTTGCACATTGTTTGATACTGAAAAATGGAGCGGTCCCAGCGATAAAAGATTCTGTTCATGAATCGGAATTGCAGGCGATGAGTAAAATGCATAAAATTTCTGTGTTCTGCATTCACGCCATATCGTAATTACTGTGACTACGAGTTTCCAACTTGTAAAAAGCATTCACATCCTCGCAGAACTCGTAATTACAACTTGTGAACTGGGAGTTTTCTTAGCGCTACAACTTGTACCACTACCACCGGACCACCTCAGATTCATTAGGTGCTATGTTTAGGCATTGATAGTGCAATAGTTCTGAGTCTAAGGGTGGGAACAGCACCAAGTAGAACGTCACATGTTGTCATCTCGAAATCACAGAAATTACAACATGGCGTGAATGCAGCATAAGCGCTCGCAACTCCTTAGCTCCGCTCACGGCATGCCTCCAGGAACTCGGCTGTTTTCGGAGAGAATAGTAAAGCTGTATCTTTCTTTTAAAAATCCGGTAAATCTAAAGACTCTTTGGAGATATGAAGGATGCAGTACTACTTTATAGGTACTCAAGATTAAATGGGTCATATGACGCTGCTAAAAAGAACATTATTTTGTGTATTTGGTATAATTAAATGTGTTTATGCGGTTTAAAGTAAAAAAAAAACACATTATTTTCCACATAATGTACATTATTGTTTCTCCTCTATGCCCCGCCTTTTTGAAACGCGCTGATTTTTACAAAGCTCATCGGTCTGA